CTCTGTCTAGTCTCCCACTGGATGATGGTGAGTCAGACATCTACAACACAGGTGATGCTTTCTTATTATGACCAAACCCAGAAAACAGGAGTGTCCTTTTTTTGTCACTGTGTTTGTAATCAGATGATTCAGACAGTCTCAGTCAAAGGCCACGCTCACGGTCAGTCCAAGGATCCCCTCAACTAAGTCCAATGCGATCACTGGGAGCAGAATTTGATTTGGAGAGACAGGCATCTCCACGGGATAATCACCACAACAAGAACCACAACAGGTTGGGATTTTCTGTTCAAACTGTTTATTGCTTGTGTGAGTCGTAGAGTGGAATCTAATTTGTTTTACAGCCTTATATTTTATTTTAAGCTGTTTTCAGAATGAGCAGATGACATCATGCATCGGTAGAGCCCATAGTATTTGTTGTGTCATGTTTGCCTCATTCCTTTCCTCACATTTTTTTACTTCCTTTTTTTTAAATCCTGTTTTGATACTGCACCCATTTAGATTAGCTGTTGATGGCCAGGAGGCTTCAAATTACTACCAGAATCCAAGAGAGGTCTCCTCCACCCACAGTAGTCCCTATAAAACCCTTCCCAGACCTCCTAGAGATCCTCGCAGCATGCCTCCCACCCCGGTTATGACCCGCAATGCCTACAGCAGCAGTCAGCTCAGGTGTGATCTTTGTTCCCCTGCCCTGCCAAGCCAGTGTTTATCCTTCTTTACTTTATTTAATCCAACCCTTGCTTCTCTTAATACCCTAACCTTCTACCATGCTTTCACATAAAACCTTAACTTTTATTTTAACACCTAAATCCAAAAATAATATCCCGTATCTTAATCGTGATCTTCTCAAAGACACTTTGAAATTGGTGTCATTTTCCCAGGTTGGAGGGATCTCCTCATTGCTTCAGGCATCGCAGTGGAAGTCTGGAGTCTCAGCCTCGGCTGAGAAAAGACAGAGATTCAGAGAAGCCCGTCTTTATCTTGTCACCGGCCCACCGCAGCAACAGCACAGAGGTATTAGAAGATTGCTCCTCTTACACGAGCCAGTCAAGTCTGGACTACTGCGGGGCTGCCAACTCCCACTACAGTACACTGGACTCCCGTACCTCAACCATGCATCGTCTTCACAGAAAAGTAGAAGTGTATGGTAATACTGGGAGCATGCCAAACTTGGTCCAGCACCATTCTGGTTGTAGTTATTCATGTGAGGCCTCACCACACTATGCACCCAGTGCCTACTATGTTGCCGGCTACCCCTGTCCGGACATGGAGCCTTATGCTAATGGTGCCTATGTATATGAGAATGAAGTCGAAGGCCACTACAACGTCAACCCATCCTACCAAATGAATGGGTATCACGGACATGACAGATTCAGGCACTACAGCAGTGATGGGGCGGATAATCTTTCTCAGAATCCGTACGCAACAGTGAGGCCACCACGGACCAGAGAGGGGCCTAGAAATGAGCTCTTGGCCAAGAACATGCAGAAGGCCCTGGTTGCAGAGCACCTGAGAGGCTGGTACCACCGAAACAGAGGCCACAGGGAAGGAGGGAGGGGATTACTGGCTGGATATGACTTTGACAGTGGCTCTCAGCTCAGCTTGGGATATCAGACCATGCCGGCGGCCTTCAGCCACTCGAGCCGAGCCACCTCTTTCTCTTCAGGTACAGTCAAACGCATTAGCGTGAGGGGAATTGTCAATAATAAAATAAAAATCATTTTCAATGTTTGTAATTTAGGGAAACATTAGGCTGCTGTTCAGGTTTAATAACATGAAAAAAAAATCATAATTACAAGTTAATTGGTCATGTTCTGTAGTGTCACTGATGTTAGGATGCGTAGGCTGCTTTCCTACTCACAGGATTTTTATTTATGTGTTGTTTGTGTATATTTGAGGGGTTTCATTTATTCTATCACAGGGTTTTCTAGGCTGCCATGTGAGAAATAGACACAGTTTGTGGGTTTAAAGATATACATTCGTAAACTATCAAAGTAATAAGTATCACATAGTATTTTGTGTGAGAGAAATACTATCGTTTTTGAGGCTTTTGAGATATTGTGCACTCCAGCGTTATTTGAGTGTTCATGCTTTTCTCTTCTTTTCAGTTTCCTCAGCAGAGAGCACAGGGAACTGGCGCAACCAGCTGGCAGTCGGCCTGACAGAGTTTGATGCACCTGACACACCTCAGTACCCTCATCCTGGAGCTTCAGCATCCCTGTACAACCGCAGTCCCACACATAACAGGTGAATGCTTCAGTTCACTGAATCTCCACACTGAGGCTGTGGTTATAAATAAAGTCAATAAGTTAGAGACAGTCATAATCATTGGATTAAACTAAAATGCTGATTGTTACTTTCTTAACACAATGGTAGGCGGGTACCCTGCCGCTCCTCTACATCTGGATGATACGTGTATTTTTCTGCATTCTTTTGCTTTTCTTTTAAAGAGCGGTTTTATTTTATGATTGTATTCTGCCAGCGTGATCTGTTCTCCTTCCTCTCGTTACTTGGCTTACGCTCTACGCTCATGTGTGCAGAAATTCTCCAGAAAACAAAGAGTCTGACACAATGCCCCAAAAATGTGAGTCAGTAGATGTGGTTGGCGCTGAGGCCACTATTGCAGCTGAACCATCAGACAACCTTTCTAGCACTTAAGGGTGAGACCAAACACAGCGGGCCACTTTGTGTCGTGTTGCCAGTCGTCTCCATTCAGACATCCCGTCGTCATCCGTGTTATTCGTGTACAGCTCATTCATATATATCATCTATTTTTTTTACACTGTGTTTTGCTGTTTTTGAGGCTCCATTTTTTCAAAAATGCATCAGTCATCATGATCAAGGCCATGCACCTAATATATCAAGGCAAAGAAGGATTATTACATGTTTAGAAACATACTAAAACCACCCGAATGCAGAAAACAGGAATTCAGTCTTTTTGTAGCAGTGAAGGAAACTCGGGAGATAAAAGCTTAGCAAGCCATATCAAGATGAGATTATGAACATCTGAAAGGCAGTCCATCCTAACAGCTGAGATATTTAAGTCTGGACAAAAGTGACCAAACAACCAATACTGTCCCTCCTAAAGTTATATTGCCAGAGTGAAAAGGCCTTGCCATTTACTCCATAAAGCCCTGGTCATGTTGTACGCCTTCAAAAATATGGTGGACTTTAAAGTGCAATGTATTTCCATTTCCATCCATCAGCTTTATTTAAAATGTCAGCCTTGTTTCTTGTTCTCAAATAACTACTGCAGTGGATCTTACCTAATCTTGTGTTATTGCCTGTACAGATTTTACCTTGATGGGAGCTACATGAGCATCCACTGAAGAGGACCAAACCAAACTGTGGCACAAATAAAGCCATAGCCAGCAGCACATGAAGGGAATGGAGTGGAAACGCAGGCTTTACACAAATGTTTTTGGCTGCCATAACCTCGTCTTTGAAGGTGTTTTCTCGTTTTGGTTTTGGCAGAGAGGTGTAAACCGTCCTCATGTTGTCGTAATCTCTAAACACAGTGATGACACTCTTGAATGATTTTCCCATGTGCCTTGGATTGGATGAATTGTACAGGCAGATGAGAATGTGTCAAGAAACTTTAAAATGTTGCACAACCACACTGGATTCAAACCATACTGTGTATTAAAAGATAACAAAGCTAACAAACGTGTTTTTACTCAATCCACCACCATGTGTTTTAACAGAAACTAGCTACTGCCTTATACAAATCAGTAGGTTATAGAATAAAAACAAAAAACAATTGCCACTTTTCTCTCATGATAAATGATAAAACTCATCTTAAATATAACATCGAGATTGAAGGCAAAGCTTGGGCATGTTTACAAGTGTGACATGACAAAAGCTGGGTTAATCATCATTAGAACAGGCTGTGTATTTAATGACGCTCCATTTCTTTAAATCAGAATGTATCATGTCAATATTGTTTATAGAACCATTAGTCTTTGTTAGTGCTTTATTGTGTTTTAAAATGCATGGTGAGAAAATAGATTTTTTTGGATTAAAAAAAAACAAAAACAAAGTTCAGACTTTTTTATATTAACAGAAGACCACTGCCATAAAACATATCCATTTCTCATTGTTTTCTCACACATTTGTACAGTCAGTGTGTAGTTACATGTTGTTAGATGTTGTCATAAAATATTTTCCACTCAAATAAAAGGTGAATAAACATATGTGTGACACAAATATGCCTGCTGTCACTTTCTTTGTGAAGCTTGCACAGTTCTTAATGGTTGAGTTCTGCTAAGAAAAACTTAAAGAAATCAAACTATTTACTGAGAAATTATAATGTTAATGATAATGAATGGTATTCACCAAGCATCATAAGGAGACTAATCCCAGCCTCTTATCTGTCCAACAAACATAGGCTAAAACCAGGCTGTTAGCTAACTGCAAATCAGCTAGCCAGGAAATATCTGTATCCCAGCACTTGTAAAGATTGGTAATTACTTTCATCGTTATTAATGAGATAGTAAACTAGCTCAACATTTTGAGTTACTCCTGAGTAAAATTTAGAAATTTCGAGTTAGTAAGCTAGAAAGCTGATATTTAAAGATATTAACCCAACATTTGCTCGAGTGGGAGAAACAAGTTTTTCCTTACAATAGAAAAACTGTCCATTCAAAAGTGTACAAACAACAAAGGTCTCTTCAATAAAGAAGATAACTGCAAATCTTCACTCTAAAAGGAGTTTTTATGTTTACGTGTGGATGAAAGGCCCAAACATATAGAAAAATATACTACCTAACTGTGGGTTAGGTGTATACAAGGCCTAAAGGGATTGTGATAACGAACCCCTGAAAACAAGCTAACTCTTTTTGCTCATGGTTTGTTTGTTGTGTAACTCTGGGAGGAGCTCTGTTTGCATGGGACATGTTAGCCCTCCCGCTAGGCCTGTAAAAACATCGCACCTGCTGCAGTCAATCCAGCGTTTTCCTTTTGCCTGAAGCAACTGTCATCTCAAAAGATTGTGATGACCAGGGCAGCTGGCAGAAGGGTCTGAAAAAAGAATGTTAGCATGTCTTTCCCCTGTTGGTACCGTAAATATCTTCCATGTAGTTCACAGGGTTTATTTTAGTCCGTGAGGCAGGATCAAACGGTTTCTAGCTAAAGTCAAAGTCAGAGGCTTCCCAGTTTGCTCTGTGTTGAGTCAGAGATTGGATAAAAAGTTGTGTTTTGCCTTGATATCGACAGGAAAACACAACTTTAAAACTTCAGTGCAAATATGTCTAACGGCAGAGACCTTGAGGATCTCAACGAAGAGGACATTGATGAGGATGAAATCCTTGCAATGCTTTCGCCTGAGGAGCTTAAGGAGCTTCAGAGTGAGATGGATGTTATTATTGCACCAGATGAGAGTGTACCAGTAGGACAGAGACAGAAGGACCAGACAGAAAAACCTCCGACAGGGACGTTTGACCACAGATCCCTAGTTGATTACCTCTACTGGGAGAAAGAGTCTAAACGTATGCTCGAGGAAGAAAGAGTGCCTGCTACTCTCCTGCCCAGTGAGGTAAGAGATAACTCTAGCAAAGGTTCATGTACAATTCAGTTTTTGGTGCATACCATTAATGTCATAGTTCTAATCTTAATGTCCTAATGTACTGTTTAGAAAACCTTGAGGGAGGAATCTGAAAAGAAAGAAAAAGAAGAAAAACGCAGGATGTGGCAAATATGAGGTGTATGAAGTGATAGAGGAAGTCACTGAAGAAGAAGCTGCAGATTGTGAAACTGGAGAGGAAATTATGAGAATTGAGGGATGAAAAGGACAAAATAATAGATGTGGGAAGAGAGAAAGAGACGAAGCAACTTGTTGAAGTCCAACCTGAAAATGTAGATGAACACGCAGAGCCTCTGGATATCACAGAACAAGCACCAGGAAAAAATACAACTGGCAGTCAGCCTTTCTCAGGCACAAAGGAGACTACTGAGACCTTAGCTCTGAAACACAACACTGAAGAGAAAGAAGGAAATAAAAGTACAAAATGTTTGCCTCCCCAAGAGGCTCCAGAGGAGCCAGAAACAGTCGAACCCAATGAGAAGCTTCCAGAGAAAGAAGAGAGAAAAATAGGTAAACTGAAAATCCCGAAGCTTTCACTCAATAATATAAAAATTACATCAAGACCTTCAGGAAATGATACAAACTTGGAGTCGACACTTGATAAGATCCGCAAAAACAACCCCTCTATCACTGAGGTAAACCTCAACAATATAGAAAACATTCCCAAAGAGATGCTCGTGGACTATGTCAACGCCCTGAAGAAGAATAAATATGTTAAAACATTCAGTTTAGCCAACACTGGTGTCGATGAAAATATTTCTTTCAATCTAGCCAACATGCTACGAGAGAATCGGAGCATTACGACTTTAAACATTGAGTCAAACTTCATAACTGGCAAAGGCATCGTTGCCATCATTCGCTGCCTCCAGTTCAATGAGACTCTCACAGAGCTGCGTTTTCACAACCAGAGGCATATGCTAGGTCATCACGCAGAGATGGAAATCTCTCGCTTGCTCAAGGCCAACAACACCCTTCTGAAGATGGGCTACCACTTTGAACAGCCAGGGCCCAGGATGGTAGTGACCAACATTTTAACAAGGAATCTGGACCGTCAGAGGCAGCTGAGGAAGGAAGAGCAGAGGCAGCAACAGCTAAAGCAGCAGAGGGAGCTGATGCAGATGTATGAGAGCAGTCTCAATCTACCTCCTGGTTTACTTGAGATGCTGGGATACATACCACCCATAGAATTCCTACAGGAGCATGGACTTGCCCCACCCTCATCAGAGCTGAATGCTGTTGTGCAAACACAACACCAGACAGAACAACCAGAGCCCCAGAAGAAGATCAAACACAAAAGCATTCCCAAACAACCCAGTGATGAACCAGCAAACCCATTAAAGGATGTCCAGCTGAGGAGAACTCCAAAAAAACGGGATCCTATATTCGAGCTGGACCCAAGAGATGATAGAAGATCAGAGAGGGCAAGCTTTCAACTGAGGAAGACTCCCAAAGTGAAGGATACAGGCAGTGCAGGGAATGAGGATGAAACGGCCAATCTGACTGACGTGATCAAGTCTTTAAAACCTGTCCCTCGCAGACGATTACCTCCAAAGGTTGACGTGACACCTCGTGATCAGCTCCTAAATGATATCAAAAAGAGCAACGTGGCTTATCTCAAATCTGTGAGTACCTTAGAATCAGTATTACCTGAAATTACATTTTTTAATTGCTCAAAAAGTGGAACAGTGTTCAAGCTCACAAAACAGAAGAGCATTTATCATAACACTTTCATTTTCTGAAGGTGTTTTAATAGAGCATGCATTGTCCTAAAAAGCAAACTAAACCTGCTGTTCTTTTCCTTTGTTGCTTCTCACAGGTGCCTCTCCCTAAAGCCCTGGAATCAAGTGAAACGAGTCTCCTGTAAGGCGCTGCTGTTTCTTCACCATAGTATTTGTTTTTATTACACATGCTCAGTATTAGTCACTTCACATGAACAGTACAAATTGCTACTGAACTTTAATTACCTAGAGAAAAATACTGGTTAGTTCTGTTTTATTTCAATACGTGATATAGTCTTTGCAAAGTCACAGCAATTATGAACACTGACTACAGCCAAATATTGTGTATTAATTCTACAGTAAAGCGTGTTACCCTTTCATAATTTGAAAGCTCTTCTGAATACAGTGCATGGTTAAGAAAAAAAAGTGTATTCACACAGTATTTGTTCATGATGTCTACATATACAACAATTTCTCTAATCTTTGTGCTTAAAATGAATTAGCAAGCGTGTTTGATTAAATGTTTGTGACTTAATCATTTTGCTATTAAATAATATAAACCTTCCACTCTTTGCTGGGGGATGTTTTTTTAAATTAATTCAACAGCACTGGTCACTGTAGAGGTGCCATTAGCTGTAACGCACATCCATCCCGAGGGGATCATTTTTTCATCCTGAAATGAGCGCTGGATATAGAAAATAAAATTACTCATATAATCTCTGTAGTAAATTCATGCCTCCCAGACAGTTTATTCAAAAGATATAAATCCCCCACTAATCCGCCATTCAGTAGTCGTTTTTCTCTCTCTTTTTTCAGTAAAATCCTACAGTATACTTTTTGTTTTAGACTTATCTGGAACAAAGTCTGCATCATAAAGTACTTTGCAAAGGCCATTTATTTGAATATAACAAAAATGCCAAAATTAACACAGTTTGAGCTGATCATCTACAAACTGTAAGGTCGGTAGTTCAATCTCTGGCTGCTCAAGGCTGCATGACAAAGTGTCCTTAGAGAGGACACTGAACCACAACTTACTCTCGGATGTGTTCATCATAGTGTCAATGTGAAAGAAAAAAGAACTTAGGTATAGCAAAAAAGTTTGTATGAATATGATGAATAGTAAATTGTATTAAGTGCTTCGAGTGCTCCTGCAGAGTAGAAAAGCACTACCGGTATATAAGAACCAGTATATTATCATTTACCAATAATTTGGTTTAAAATTGTGCAAGCAGAGGATGAAAGAAGAAGTGGGAAGCTGAAAAAAAAACTGTCTACAACAGCATGCAAAATTCATGTTCTTAAGAGATTCGGGGAAAAATCCAGGCAAGTCCTGACAGAGGAATTGAGACATTCATGTGGCCGTTCAGTTGATCCATCTGCTGTTTGCTGAAGCTTCATCAGGTATCTTCTGAGTGGAAGGGTGGATGTCAAGAAGTCTTAAATAAGGGAGACAGGGAGAAAAGGCTGAGGTATGCAAAATTACACGAGAACTGGACTACAAACCAGTGGCAAAACGTCTTGTGCAGGGAATCTAAATGTGAAATTTGGTTCAAATCACTTTCAATGTCTACAGGGTGGGGGTGGGAGGGGGCACAACCATGACTGTCTACAGCCATCTGTAAAACATGGAAACATCTTATCAAATTTGTTTCATTTTGAATGCAGGAAAGTACAGTACTGTCAGGTTCTGATCCACTATACATTACCATGTGGAAAGCATCTGATTGGCAACAGCTTAATTTTTTATCACAACAATATTTCCAAACACACCACCAATGTAGCAAAAACACTCCTTGATAGGAAAACACACAGAGAATTAGTACCAGACATGATTTGACCTCTCCAGAGCTCAGACCTCAGCATTAGTGAAGCCATGTGGGATCATCTTGACAGAAAACAGAACAAAAGGCAGCCAACATCCAAAGAAGAGCTTTGGATGGATGTCCCACAAGAAGCCTGGATTCCTGAAGACTACTTAATGAAAAACCCTTTCATTTTGCCTGTGTTCAGGTATCATAAAGAAAAAAAAAAGAAAGATGGAGACTCTGTTTTTACCTCATATGCTGTATTTGTTTGATGTTTGCACATTTCATGAAATTGCTTCACCCACTTCTTATTTTCCCAGCAAAATATAGATATGAGCGATGGCTTGAGACTTTTGCACTGTAAATCAAATTACATTTATTTTTATAGAGGACAGCCAATTTTTATTTCTATTCATCACTTTTCAAGAATGGAAATGTCACCAAAAAACATATAACACACACACACACATAATGCTGCATCCCAAACCAATTAAAAATGAACTGACATTTGAGTAGGTAGCAGTACAAACTGCGTTCAGTGTGCATTTCTGAACAGATCAGTATAAGTATATCAGTATAAAATAATAATTATTGTAACTTTTTTCAGAATTCCATGAGATGTCGACTAATGAACAGGGAAATGTGCTAAAAGTCAGTTGAAAATTTATTTTTAAAATACATTTCTGCATGCTAAAATAATGACACATCAGAAATAACAAAAATATACATAACATATACTCAAACGATAAAGCTGCACTTGCCATTCATTTTTCCGTATTGCATAGCTGTGAACAGAGGGGATGCACTCAGGCCACCGTGTACAGTCAGAAACTGTATGCACAAATCTTGTGACAAATCGAATATCCACACTGCATTATTATTTTGAGTAAGGACAAGTAACAATGTCTATGCAAGAAGCAAACTTTTTTCAGCATTCATAAAGCAAGCTCCTGCAATGACAAAATTGGAGTTATTGCGGTTTAATAAGCAGTTCACTTGGTGGCAGCGGTGCGTTTTGGTAATCTGGGTCTACTCGGTGAGAATAAAGATAAACGTGCTCATTTTGAGGTAGCAAACTGAAAGGAAATGAATTTTTTTTTTTTGAACAAATATAACTGGTATCTAATCACTGTTTATTCAGCTCAAACATTCTATTTTATTTGGATTGAATAAATACTTGATTACTGTGTAGAACAAAGTGCACTGTCAACGATGGGGAATTATGCGTCTGTGGACATATTTTGACACAGGAATGCTAAAAACTTTGATCCCAACATCCAATCCATACAATGATTGTGCGAACCCTGTTATAATGACATGATTCACCTTTACCCCTTAGATATTGTGAACTCACACAAACATGTAAGAGCATATATTAAACTAAAATGGGTAAAAAAAAAGTGGGAATGAGGGGAAAAAAAATCTGTAACTTTATTATTATTATTATAAGGGGCTTATACTGGAACTTATCAGACAATTCTACAGAAACTTTAATCCATACTGTATGACACTGATTTCTTTTGGCACACTCTTGGCTGCACTCTTACTCCTTCAGTTTGTTTTCAATGAAATCCTGAATCTTATTAATTTTCTCCTCTTGTTGGTCCAGGAGATCCATGATGATGCCCATGGGGGTCTTCTTTAGCCCAACACCTTCAATCTTGTTCTCCAGCCTGTTTTTCATGTTGCGAAGTCTCAAAGAGGCATGGATCAAGATTACTACGGGATAAACAAGAGCAGCCTATTAATATTGTTTCAGTAAGGAGGGGATAGAATACATTTAAGTATAGCAAGATTAATGTTTTTACTGAAACACATGTTGAAAATTGCCAAAACAAAATGTGATACTCCTGAAACGCAGACATTAAGCAGGTGTTAGGAAAGGTAAATCTTTTATTTCCATGTCAGACAGATACTGAATGCATGACATCAGCTAGTAAATGTGGTCCTGTCAACAACCCATAGCAACGAGTCAACACAAGCAGCAGTGGGCACTCCTCCTGGGAAGAATCAAACTGCCTCATCTGTCTGCCACAATGTTAGAGCTGCTACATTTGCTCGAGGAACCTAACCCACCAATTATCTGAACCACTCTGCTGATGGTCAGAGTCTAAAAATATTTAGAGAGAAGTAGCCTGTAATACTGACTTTATTTTACAATCAGCGTCAACAGGAAATGCGCATCAGCAATTCTGCACATACTGTTCAAATGCTTCAGTGACTCATCGCCACTCTCCCTGGCAGTTTTCATTGCATAACATTAGCCAGATGTTAGCAATATACTATAGGGAACGGTCTCAAGTCTGTACAAGTTGCGAAGTTCGAAAAGGTTCTTAATGTAACAAAGTTAGCACATTTCCCTTTCAAATGTCAAGAAACTGTGAATGAACCAAAGAAAATTCCAAGCTTGATTAATCAGAATCTGAATACTTTTATAATCCCTAAGGAATGATTTTATGAGGAAAACTGCTCTATTAATGATATTAATTATCATAGAATGAGTCACTATTTTTTATATAAAATGACTAAGAGCTCAATTAATTCCAATATTATAAATTACAGGATATACTGTGTTTTATTTTTAAAGTGAGTAACCAGTGTAACAGATAAAATCAGGTTAACATTAGAAAGAAATTCACAATATCTTTATTGGGAAGATTTCAATCAGAGCTACTCTAATAGCCAGAATTTTTCTGTTGTATATACACTAACAAATATTCTTAGATACACAGCAGTCAGGCATAACATTATGACCACCTGGCTAATAGCATTTGCTGATCTGTTGAGGCCCTGACTTTAGGCCCTGAAGGTGTGTTATGGTATGGTATCTGGCACCAGGTGTTTGCAACAGATCCGTTAGCTCACTGGCTAATGCCTTTTGATCGACAAGTTATTGGCCAGTCAGCATATCCTGGATGCGCTTCCTTTCCTTGCTTAGAATGCCCCATGGAGCAAAAAGCAGGTGACTTGTGAGTCTTTTGAATTTCAATACTGATGCTTTCTCTGCTACATGCGCTGAAAGTATTAGTAACCACTGAATTTGGAGCACATTCTGCTGGACAAACTGTTTAATTAAACTATTTCTAATTAACCCCAAGCTAAAACAAAAACAATAATTAACTGACGCTATAATCAAAAAGTAGTGTACTTGTAGTGTTGTGCTGGGTGTTGACAAATTATCCAACATGGTGAATATCAAAATTAATGGAAAATGCTTGTGTAATATACTTACAGAGCAAAGGAAAGGTGATTCCAAAGATGAAGACCATGACTCCACCACAGAGTGAAAGCAGAAAGTAGCTGGTGACCATGACACCAATGACAAACAGAGTGGGGTTCTTCCTTTTGAAGTTCTTGATAGTGGCCTTATTTTCTCCTGCCCAGACTGATCCTGCAAAGACCAGTGCCACCACAGCTCCACCCAGGAACATGCCAAATGGATTCATGAACCTGAATATTGGAACACACACAAAGGAAACTGAAATGCTGTGCATTAATTTCACTACATATATGTTGTGGTAAGAAGTTTACATACACTCATCATTAGCATGAATGTCAAGATAATCTGGGCTTGTAATGATTTATTTGAACTGTTCTTTTTTCCAGACTGGAATCATTGTACAGCAAACATCATTACTCCATCCTAAAAAATAAATAAATAAATAAATATATATAACAGTTCAGAGAAATTATTAAAAACTTAAAATGACAGTGACATTCATGTTCATAACGAGTGTATGCAAAAATTCACATAGACACATATTATATGTAATTTAAAATTCTTTTAAACAGCACAACCTGCTGGTGGTGGCAAAAATTTGTAACTACCACTTTGCTGTACACCAAAAGCGGCAAGGCCTGCAAGAGGATGTCGACTCACGATTTCCACTACATCATCCTGCATTCAAAGCAGCAGCTTGTATGCAGGAAACGGCAACAATGTTGGGCGGCCGATGGTCAAATTTAGCATAACTTTTAAATAAGGTTAATTTTACACAAGTTTTTACTGGATGTGTACGACATGCGTACAGTATAAAGCACCAGCTCAGCATTTAGGCCATCTAAAAACTTACTTCCTCTGAATGTTTTAAATGTTGGAAAGAGAGGACTTGTAGGCCAATAGAGGTTAAAACATCTATATGGCTAGTGACCATCTGACGACTGGAAAGATAGAAAAGAGCTTCACCGTATTAAACATTAGTAAACATAGCAACACAGTGCTAAATGCAACAAAAATAGCCTGTGTGGTCACAATGGGTGTGGATAAAAGGTATGCAAGAGAATTAAGCTCAGAGCAGCAGATGCTGGCCTGTCTGCGTTAGCCTGCTGTCAACCCAGGACTCACCCTACAATGAGGAAAACCACCATAGCCACGGCGAAGTAATTCGTCTGGTAGTACATCAGATTGCTGATCACTCTGTTGTTCCACTTTGCTAAGTCTCCGAAATCGGGCTTGCCGAATCGGTCCGTTCCGGGGAAAAAGTCGTCCCACGGTCTGAGGGGTGCGAGCTCCATTTTGGCTGCCATATCTTCGGCGTGTCGTTAAGCGACGCAAACAAACACAACACCACAGCACACGCTGTTTGACAGGTCAGCTGATCACGTCAGCGGCCTGGAGGAGGTGGCAGTCCGAAAAGAGAAACGCTCTCGCGAGACTTTAAACGAGGCTCAGTCTGCAGCGGCAGTTAACGGGTTTAGGACTTGTGTTTATAAAGTGCAGCAGTGCCATTAAAAAAAAAGATAATTTTATTTTTGATTAGTTAGTACCTAATACCAAAAATTTTAATTCAATTATTAATACAATATATCCCTTTTGCTTTGCTGTTTTGTCATCTTCCTTTATATTTATATAATTATAATCTTATTTAAATATATTTCTGTTCTGAATTTTGTTTTTTCAGTGTTTAGTTAAATTCTCTAGTTTTTCTATTATCTGAGTCCACTGTAATCAGGTACATCACCAAGGGGGTCAGAGAGGGCATCGGCCACCCCCCAAAATTTGCTGCCTCCCCAGTGCAGCGGCCCTGACTGTTTTAACATCCTTTTCTCAGTCGATTAATAAGTTCTAATCTCTATTTTACTACGTGCATTCTCTCTATTGTTTGCTATAGCAATAATAATAATAATAATAATAATAATAATTACTAGGAAAAGAAACAGATTTAATGTAGGCTAAAACCACAAAAATATTGCATTGTTTTAAATAGTGTACACGCTCTTTGGCAAATGCGGCATTTGTAATGTCCTTTGTCTCAAATTGTGTTCAAATTATGAAACGCAGAAAGAGAAGAAGACGTCACTGAATATTGCTATTCACCTATGGATAATTATTATCTCTATATATGGCTCTTCAAAGACATGCAGATACGCACATATGTGTGGGGAAGGAACCTAATTTCTGAACCAGGAGAATTATATATCCCTGTATGCGCAGTGAGGAGTCGGGGCTGCGGCGCAGCTTTGACACTCGTGAATACAGTAGTCTCAATCGAGGACATGGGACCCTGAAAGTATGGCGGATGCCGAGGAGCCGTAAGTCGTAATTGATGGAAATTATTATTTTAACGTAGTTAAATGCTGCACCTTTGTCAGCAACCCAACATGCCTAAAGACAGCTTTATTTTTTTCTTTCAGGGAGAAGAAAAGAAGGCGAATAGAGGACCTAACTGAGAAGTTAGTGACGAATCTAAATAAAGGTCTCTGGCAGCAGGTTTGCGTTGCTAAGTGAGCAGCGACTGCTGGGCCAGCAGATATGATCAAATCAAACATTTTACCATGCACGCAGGACTTACTAACCCACCATTATATGTTTCTATAAATCATCCATGTGAAACGTGAATCCAGTTAAAGTCTAGAGTTTATTGCAAGGGTCGAAGTTGCATTGCTCAAATCAGCTTTCTTGCAAGACCTATTCGGTCTGTTACAGCCTTGTGTCTGCTTCATATCGCATGCATTTTTCTTGCAACCCCTATATTTTTCTATCTATATCTATCACCCCTCACCTGGGTAATCACTGTCCTTGTAGTTAAATGCAACATGGATATGCAATCTTGAGACACTGATAGAGACCACTTATTATGTGTTCATCAACAAGCCTATACAGGAAATATAAGTGCTGTAATCTTAATGCTTTAGTAGATTGAAACCTGCTTTATGACTTTTATCTCTATCAGGTTTCTTAATATGAGAGTCCTATTCATTTTGGCTGCTCTTTTTAGTCTTGAGATAAGTTAGAAGAAGTGTAAGCATAAATTGTGTTGTAATACAAGTCCAGTGCATCTTGTTGTGTTGTGTTGTTTGCCCAGAATGGCTGTAGATAGTGGACACAGAGATGGTGGCTGCGATTGGGATGGTCGTTGGAATCATGTGAAGAAGTTTTTGGAGCGACCTGGCCCATTTACGCATCCTGACTTTGAGCCAAGCACTGAGGTTACATGGAAATGTTTTTTATGTGCATGCTTCATATATTTGACTGAATAAGCCAAACAAGATAAGGCTATAGCTGCACTGTGAGGTTAGAGGGTTTTTAAAAATCTTAAATACCATTCTTTAAATATATAATATTTTTTTCATACCAGTCCCTGCATTTTTTGTTGGAAACATGCAAGATTCTGGTGATCGGAGCAGGAGGACTTGGTTGTGAGCTGCTGAAAAATCTGGTAGGAAATAGCAAGCTTGAATGCACGTTTTGTTAAGGTTCATCATCAAGTGTAAATTGAACAAATGCAAAGTCTTTTTAGTGGTTTAAATAAGTTCTTACATAGTCTTTCTTTGCTTCAGGCCTTGTCTGGGTTTCGCCTCATTCACGTGGTTGATATGGATACTATTGATCCGTCCAACCTCAACAGGCAGTTTCTTTTCAGGTAGGTTTTTAGCTTTTTTAAATTTCACCATGGTTTAATACCACACAAGTACTGATTATGCACAGTGTTTCATATATAATCAAAACTGACGTGTCTCTATTTAGACCCAACGATGTTGGACGACCAAAGGCGGAAGTGGCTGCTGACTTTATTAACAGCCGTGTCCCGGGTTGTAAAGTTGTTCCGTATCCTTTTATTGACAATTTTCTTTAAAAACAACACGGACTGTGTTTACAATATATGACATTTACTGTGTGCTGCTATCATGTTATCACCTTATAAATGATCTGCAGTCACTTTAAAAAGATCCAAGACTGTGACGAGTCTTTCTACAGGCGTAAGTGTGCTTTTCTTATAACGTGTAAACTTTAGCAGGTCTTACTAAATAGACGCCTGATAGTTTATTTTATTTTCAGAGTTCCACATCATCGTTTGTGGACTGGACTCCATCATTGCCAGACGCTGGATGAATGGGATGCTGGTACAAAATATAAATTAGTTGCAGTTTGTTTTTTGTTTTTGTTTTTTTTCCTTCAGGTTTTTCTTTACTCCCTTAAAGGGAGCAGCCAAAAGAAAGAGAGGAATAATAGTTATTTAAGAATTAAAATAGTGTGTTATTCAAATTTTTAAGTACATTATGAGATAGTGTCATACTTTGTCAATGCTGCACCGTGTATGCTTTCTCTTCTGCTGATAAAACAGATTTATGTGTGCAATTTATGATTGATTTGACCTTTTATAGATCTCCCTCCTGAGCTATGAAGACGGAGTCCTGGATCCTAGCTCCATCATCCCGCTCATTGATGGAGGGACAGAGGGCTTTAAAGGAAATGCTCGTGTCATTCTGCCGGGAATGACTGCATGTATTGACTGCACTCTGGAGCTGTATCCGCCACAGGTACTGCTCCCTTTCTTACAGATATTGATTTTCTGGTTTCACCTTAAAGATTTGTATATATTTTTCTGTTTTTAGTGTGCTCTGTGACAGAATTGTCTGCCAGCCTATTAACTTTTTACAAAGTTACATCTGGTGCTGTGTTGAGTGTGTCTGGGTGTGAAAAAGCAGTTGTGGGGAACAGGTGGTCCCTAATATTCCAATCTGCAGCAACAGCTGTTTGTTTGTTGAGGCTGAAAAGAACTATTTTAATTTGGAGAAAACTGTCACTTACATTCAGAGGATATAAAAAACAGCACTTAAGTAAGGTAAATAGAGATTTAATGGTTAAACTGATGGTTTAACGGTTAAACAGCTGGTAGCTAACAGTTTTTGACAATGTAGCTGTCTTAGTGTTGCATAGCGCATTTTAATCCTCGTATGCTTTTACTGATACTTGAAGTTTATTTTTGTTATAAGTCTTACTTACTTACCGGTGTGTTTTATGTGTTTTACCTCTTCATATCTTTCTAATGGTATATTTTTATCTTTGTAAAATCATTCTTCTTTAGTGGACTACTAAATATGTCCTGGCTATTCTGAATTCGCTTCATAGTACCAGGCCCATAGTAACAGCTTATAATGATCCTTTCAATGACTCGTTTTTGCATAGCATTAAATAAACATTTGTGATCCACAGATTAATTTCCCCATGTGCACCATTGCTTCAATGCCAAGGCTGCCAGAACACTGCATCGAATATGCCAGAATCTTACAATGGCCCAAAGAAAAGCCATTTGGAGGTACGCTAATATATTGACTTGGTAACCAGTAACACGTCATATAACCTGCCTTTGTTAAAATGAATACTAAGAGCATGGGTTGTCTAATAGAAACAAGCTTAGATGGAGACAATCCAGAGCACATCCAGTGGGTGTTTGAAAGATCCAAAGAAAGAGCAGCAGAGTTTAACATTACAGGAGTGACATACAGACTGACTCAAGGTGAGCCTGGGAATCATTTGTTCAGCTCTATTGTGCTACATTTGAATTGTTATTAAAGTTGTATCTGTTTCTTATGTCACAGGTGTCGTGAAAAGGATCATTCCTGCTGTGGCTTCGACTAATGCTGTTATTGCTGGTATGAAAGTCCAACTTTTTAAGCTGGTAGCAGTGAAAGTGTTGTAATGTCTGGTGATGTAAAAGCAGCAAACATTCCTTAATTAAACATGCAGTTGTTAAAATGATGGTATTGGGAGATGTAGCGCTTGAAAAATGGTGGACATTTTTTAAACAACGTGTTTTGGTTTTTTAAACATATTTAGACTTGCAGCTAACAGACAGCTAATTGCTCTGCAGTTTTTAACACTGTGATCATTTACTACTGTACTTGGGTAGCTTGTTAACCTTAGATGCTAACTTTGCAGCTTAACTCGTTCACGTTTCATTCATTCACTTCTTTTGTTTTCTGTTTCTGTTCTTCGTAGCTGCCTGTGCAACAGAAGTTTTTAAGATTGCTACGAGGTTGGTTGTAAAAAGACATTTTGAGCCATTTATTGTAGTTAGCTGTTGATATATTTTTTTCTATTTTTCTCAACATAAACATCTCTTATTGTTTTTTGTTGTTGTTTTTTTTTACCAGCGCCTATATCCCTTTGAATAATTACATGGTCTTCAATGACGTGGATGGACTGTACACCTACACATTCGAAGCAGAGCGAAAGGTTTGTTTTAGCTGTAACTGGCTTTTTGCCAGCTGTGTAATGTATGCTCACCGAGAATATTCAGTGTAATCTGAATTTTCATTGATTGACAGGAAAATTGCTCAGCTTGCAGCCAGGTGCCTCAAGATCTCCAGTTCCCTCCTTCTGCCAAATTACAG